TGACTTAGCTCAATTATGGGCTTTACAGCCAGAAAAGCCTGGAATTAAATTCCTGCTTTGCCTCTTTGTAGCTCTGTGACTTTAGGTGCATGACCTCTATAATTTTCATTTTCCTCAATTGTAAAGTGGGGACAAAAATATGTTTGACAGGGTTACTGCAAATATTGAAGCTGAGCATACCTTTCAGATATGCATAACACTGAGCCACAAACTCATGTTGAAGACAGTTAAGTGGATAATGTAGACCTCATTTGCTTGAGCTACCTCTATGTCGCTTTCTGCCCAGCTTCTACGCAGAAATTCTAACCTTCAAAGCAATCGTATTAGGAAGAAAGAAGTTTTGGAAGAGGTCTCACCATCTTTATAGCCCATATCAGCTACTTTTCCCCTTCTATCGTGTGAGAACACAGTTAAGAAGATAATATTCTAGGAACTAGGAACCAGACAAGGAGTCGGCCAGGCTCTTGACCTTAGGCTCCCTAGCTTTTAGAAACAGAGCTATGAGGCATAACTGTCTGTTTTAAAAGCTACTCAGCTTACAATATTTTCTTTTAGTAACCCTGAAATCACTAACCTCTTTCCTTGGAGGTTAACCCTAGTGAAACCTTCCCAAAACTTTCCTCTCTAAGTTTTGGGATTAAATAAGCTGAGGGAGAAGACTGATATTTATCCACAAACGAGAATGTGTAGAGAGTCAGAGACCACACACATAAAATGAATTTGGTGTACACATGTAGTACTAATGTGAGCTCAGGCACTCAGAAATCTGCCTTACGCTAACAAGTGCCTCAATTAATTCTGACATAACTACAATGCAAAATCTTTACAGGGAGACATAAATCTTCATGTAATAATGTTTTTAGGAGAAGGAGGCATTTAAACCTATGCATTTCCTTACAAATTGTTACGGTATGTGAGAAATCTAAATTGTCAATTGGGGGAAAGTTTCGTAGGCACAGGAAGTACAGCTGAAACCTGAGAGCATGCATTGAACTTTTCATTTATGAAGCAATCAACCTCATCAACCTCATGCCTCATTTGCAAACACTCTATTTTTCCCTTAAATATTGAAATCTCAAAAAAGAATCTTGGTTATGATAGATATGAAAAAAGTTCAACAAGTGGAATGCAATAGTCTAAATCTTGTGAATCAGTTTAACTGAGTAAATAATCAGAATGTATATTTTCCCCAAATACAGTGGCATTAAAAGTTTAAGATACTCCACATGGTCCAAACTGATGCTTTTCATCTACTGTATCAATGTACTTATGTCCTGTCTCCTTGTCTTGCTTTACTTTATGAAGTTATATAAGGTTACTGCATGTTCATTTTAAAAATCCAGATTTGGTTGAAATGTACTTAAAGTCACAGATCTACAACTTCACAATTCCAGAAGAATAACTGCTAGAAGTTTTGAATGTGCCAATGAAGATATTTTTATTAATTATACAAAACATACTTTTATATTTCTTCTTTATGATATCAGAATTCAATTTATTTATACATCAATCAGGTAAAAAGTGAAGGTTGCCATTTGCAAGCAGGTGTCATTCTGTTTAGCTGCTGGCTCTTTCCCCAACTGTGCATCTTTTCTCTCCAGTCCCTTGAGGTGCTGAAATCACTCTAGTGACATCTATCTAAATCCATGAACTTACATTAATTCTGAAAAAAGTGAGATCCTCTGAAGTGTTATATAATTAATCATCCAGCTGTTCACTTGGCAAGGAATCATAATTAGGGAATGTATTAGTCTGCCAGTGGCACCCAGGAAATAGAATCAAAAGTATGAGATCTGATTAGACAGCTTGTTTTGTGGATTAGAATTGGATGTCTGCAAACTGAATTCACAACCCTGAATGTACACTTCCCTGATATGGAGAGCTTGTAAACCCATGCACATGTGTGCGCGCGCACACACACACACACACACACACACACACACACACACTCACATGCCTACATGCACACCCATACCCAAGGTCTGGGTATTGGAAGTTTTAATGTGCAGTCTGAGATTGAGAATCAACCAACTAATCTGAGAGAACAATGAAAAAAGATGGATATCAAATTTTCAGGCAAATGTTCTGAATTTCTATAAAGACAGTCTCCATGGGGCTGCAGAGATGGAACTGGGAGAGGATGTGTTGGACATGGCAATGTAAAATACACATAACCTTTCTTATCAAACCTTCAGTAAAAAATATCAACTACTTTGAAGATAACAATATGCAATACACTAACCAGTGTTACAGTCTAATTTTGAAATTTTGTGCCATTGTGTTTTTTTTTTTTTCTTTTTTGTTTTTATCAGTACCGGGGATCGAACTCACGACTGCCTGCTTTCAAGGCAGGCACTTATGCCACTGAACTAAACCCCCAGCCCCTCTGCCATTGTTTTTTAATGTATTTTTTCTTTAAAATAAACAAAATTGACTAGCAGAACAAAATGAAGTTTTGATTATTAGAATCTAGATATCTGTGGGATTCAACACTATTCTTGTTTATTTTCTTTAAAACATTATTTTAGCATTGTGTTCTGCAAAACAACAATAACCAAAAAATTAACAACAATGATTTTAAAAAATGGGGAAGAAGATATTTTTGTGGCCAAACCTGAGATATGCTGGTAACTATCCTTGGGTTATTGACATAGTGTACAGTCTCATGAGGCTGTTCTCTGACAGGCTGTGTAGTTGTGAAACCTGTTGAAACTTGGTTTTTCAGCCCAATCTTTTCCAAACATAAGCATCCAACAAGCATCAATTATGGAGAGCCTCCTTGGGCCATGGACTGTTCTTAGTATTTGGATGGAAGGCAGTAAAGTTCCTACTTTAGTGTTATCTGCCTTATAGTGGGATACTATGAATGAAACAACAAGTAATAATCAACAAACAAAGACTTCCTCACAAAATAATGAAAAATATGAAGAAGATAAAACAGAAAGATCTGTGTGGAGGTGCCAGGTGTACTATTTTAGAAACAAGGTTGAGAAAAGTCCTTTTGAGTGGTAATATTTTAGCCAAGACTTGAAATGACTGAGTGAGATGACTACACAGAGATCTGGAGGAGAATTTTTAGAACGGGGTCAACTACTGGTGCAGATGCCCTTGGTGGAGTTTAGTGCAGAGAGGAGAGAGCAATTTGATTAAATTCAGTGGATGATGTTATGTTTGGGTGAAGAGTTTGGATTTTAAGGGTGAAGCAAGCAGTGGGACAGCATAGTTTAATTGCTTTCGTGTATCTTCCTGGCCACTCGTAGGGTAAGAGATTGAGGACGTGGGTGGTAACTGGGCAGGAGAATGGACACAAGCAAGAAGAGTCTCTTGAAGTAATTCTTGAGACACTACTTTGTGGTGGTCATAGGTGAGATGCGCACTGTTCTGGTTTATATCTAATGTCTTCCCAAGGCCTCATGGACTCAAGGGTGGGACTTTAGGAGGTAACTTACCATGGATGTGTGACACGGGTCATGGATGCATGACACTGGGTCATGGATGTGTGACACTGGATCATGGCTGTGTGACACTGAATTAGTTCCCTGATGGGTTTATAGCTGTGTGTGGTGTTGGAAGATGTGAGACAAAATAAAACTTTTCTTCTTTAAATTGTGGGTGTCGGTTATTGTATTTCAGCAACGAGAAAGTAACTAAGACAGAGAGATGCCCTAATTTGGATATAATTTGGAGGTTCCATCACAGATGTGTTTGTGGTATATAAACCTGAAAATTGAATATAAGAGGAGTGGGAGATGTCGAGAATTGATTATTCAGGGGAATCAAATTGAGTTGATGATGAAACACTCAACTTTCATTTTGAATGTGTTAGAATTTTGAGTAGATGCTAGTAATGGGATATTTGCAAAATAAAAAACATACAAAGGAATAGAATCCCTGGGTCTTAGGACTCCTAAAGTGTTTGTCTGTGCCCATCCACTTAAGGCTGTCTTAATGATTTGCTCACAGTAGAGGAACCTACCATGAGCCTACATACGTGCATTATTCCTCATGTTCCTATAAATGCTTATTTTGCAGTTAGAGGACGAGGAAGAAGAGGAATAGAAATAGAGGAGAGAGAGGGGGAGAAATAAAAATGAAATTATTGAAAACTACTGCTTCTTGCTGACTTCTACATATCTGAAATGTGTCATGCAGAGGAATATTAAATGGCTTAGAAGTTGAGTGCTGTAGCGTAGAGGGTTTGCAGGGGAGCTATGTGTCAGGTGATGCCTGCTGATACTGTGGAAAGTACCCAGCTCTTGCTCTGGCTGTATAGTGGTTTTGCAAACATCAGAGGTTTTCTTCACCTTTCTGACCTTTTATTTCCTCACCTGCAATTTGCCCATGCTGGCTCAGCATCATTCTGAAGGTCTCTCTAGCTTTTGAATTTTAGAATCTATAAGTCTAATTACAGGACTTTTCAAATTCTTTTTGTGCCCATTTCCTTTAGCCATGTTCAGTACTGTATTGGGCAGTGTACAGGTGAAGTTTAGCAACCTGTTATTGCAGTATGTTGCAGTATGCTGCAGAATGTTCGGGATGCTTTTGTTCATGAGCACATGAGACAGTGATACAGCTGGAACATGGCGTAACTTCACCCAGTCATGAAGGATATGAGCATTGTCTTGGCTGAATTGTACAACAGCTTTTCAATTTTTTCTCCCATTTTTGTGCTATCACAGTAGCAGCCACAGACATGATGCGCTTTTATGTTTAATCTGCATTTTAGAGAAGGAATCGTGTTTGAGGGTGTTATTCATAGTCAAAAGCTCATTTAACAGGTATATTGGAATTTAAAGTACTCTTCATAAAGAGTTGAGCCAACAGTAACTTCTATGGATAAAAAGACATTGTGGGAGAACTCTTAATATGTTTTTGTTAAAGACAGTGGCACTTTTCACAGTGAAAAAGTAAATCACACATTGCTCCGAGACATTATAGGTGACAAAATGAGATGGATATTCTCCAGATATATTGATTGCATTCTTTCCCTTTTCTTCTAGGGTTTCTCAGGGAATGCAAATGCAGACAGTGTAGTGTACTATCGGCTCCAGCCTTCTATCAAAGCCAGATTTCTACGCTTCATCCCTCTAGAATGGAACCCCAAGGGCAGAATTGGGATGCGAATCGAGGTGTTTGGTTGTGCATACCGTAAGTGCTCGTTTCTCCAACACACTGAAATGGATATCAGAAGTGATGTTGAAAAGCTAAAATGCAAAGTGAAATTGAACTTTATTTATATAAAGAGATACAATGACAAGGATGACATTTGTGGATGATTTTTTTTGTGTCTCTACATATGAATATTTACTTTGTTGTTCAACTTTAACATTTTAATTCAGAGATGAAAGTATTTTGTGGATACATAGGTGGATGATACAGGGAGAGATATATGTTTGTAGATTTATTTGAATCCATTTTTTCCAACTCTAATATTATTGACTAGATCTTGATCTTCAAATGTAAGAGCTTTCCCTGAGGGGTTATATTTGTAGACACCTTAAATTTAATAAGAGAGATAGTAGTGCATTTAATATAACCAGTCAGCTGTTATGAAACCAAAAAATGTTTTTCTCTCTAGCCTAAAAATAAAATGTCATGCAATTATTTTTAAATATGCTATGCCCTCAGCATAAATTAATAGAAAAAGTGAAGACCACTGTCAGAATATAAAACATGTTTGAAATATTTTCACATAAAAAGATAGAAACCACAGATTTCACTTAGTCTTCTCTTAATGAGGTATTTTATTATATCTTTTTGTGTGGAAGGGATCTAAGGGTTATTGATAGTCCACCTCAAGCCGCAGCATCCTGTTAGGTGATCTTTTATTATAGAACAATGTGTTAGTTAATATGATCTACAATTATTAGATGAACAGTCTGAGGTCTGGGGAGTTCAGTAATTTGCCTGACAACCAGTACATGCAATTATCCAGTGAAGAACTGGGACTTTTCAATTTTAGCACCTCATTTCCTCTAATATACATTTATTTTTTAGGCATTCTGAAGTTTTTAAAAAATATATTCTATTGCTTTTGATGTAATCCCCAATAGATTCTGGTTTACATTTTTTTACATAAAAGGCAAGCATGTCATAAAGAAGTCAAGTGACTTAAAGTTGTTTAAACTCTGTCAGACAGAGACACCACATTGTATAGATTGCTCAGGTCCTTGTGTAGTGATGTTTCCGGTACCCAACTCTGCTGTCAGACAATCATGAAACTTCTTATGTTCCCTCTAGTGACTTCAGAGTAATAATGATGGTGATGACAACAACAACAACAATAATAATAGAATTAGAAATAGTAATATTAATAGCATTAATATGCATAATTTTATGAATAGAAAAATATTGTCTGAGTGCTTATTGTATGTTCTTGACTGCTTATTATATACACCATACTTTATAGTTATGACTTCTCAGAAGAACCCAAATAAATATTTCTAGGTAGCTACACTGCTCCATTTCCCCATTTTGCAAACAAGGTAGCTAAATTTAGAATGGTTGACTTGCTCGTGCCACATAGACAGGAAGTGGCAGAACTGGGTTTGCAGCCAAGCTCAGGATTCAAGCTTTTGCCCTCTCCAGCTGTTGGATCGCCGAACTGTTGGATTTCATTGGACAGCTTACCATCTGCCCGACTGCTGGCTTTCTTGGCTTCAACAGTGAGGCTTAGCTTCTCCAGTTATGTGCTAGCTTCTCACTTCACAATTATCACATTTGGAAAAACAATTTTAAAAAATCTCACTCTAACTAAGATTCTTGAATGTAGAATTCAGTCAACCTTATTTGTCTTTGGGCCACAGAATCTAAGAAAGCTTGTGACATGTGATGGAAAATTAGCTAAACGAATTTCAAAATGCTTTATGTTTCTAGACATTCTTTAGTGTCGGCATCCACCTTGCAAAACATTTATTTAGCACAGCATGATAAGAGTTAACAATTATTGTGTGTCATGTGTGAGTTTTTTTAGATATTTCCTAATTTAATCATTAAAACCACTTGACAAGAGGGAAATGAGTTTTAGAGATATTAAGCCATTTGCAATATTTCACGTACTTACACATTCAATCTGGGCTGTAAATTCAGAGTCCAGAGTGCTCACCATTATACTCTGGAACCAGGGCTGTAAATTCAATGATGTTTTCTGAACACTGCTCATGATATCCATGTAATAATGACTCTGAAAGGTTCACTGTGTTATCTGTTGCTGTGTAATTTGGGATGACCCCATCGTTCCCTTGTTTTCCTGGATTTGAACTTTGTGGAACATTCTTTTGCGGACTTTGGAGTGAGTACACTGCTTACATATTTAGTGAATGTCCTTTTCTCAGTGGCTCAAGGTTAAATGTCAATGTGATTTTAAACTAAAAAATAATCACCTGTAAATGACAACTGGGGGCAATGTAAAATGATGATTGTATAACTTTAAAAAAGCTGTATACTTCCTGAAAAAATATACTCACAAACAACCTAAAATGAATCCTAGAATGGGTGGGTATAAGGACCTTGTAGGAAAGTATTTGAGCAAACGGACTTTAATTCCTTGTATATGTCACCACCATATTCATTCTCCATGTACTTGTAACACTAGTCTTGCAAAAATATGAATTTACTATATAAGGTACTATGTAACTATCATTTATTGAACAGTTACTGCTTGTCAGAGACTATTCTGATTTAGTCCCAACAATTCAGGGAAGTGGAAGTACGAATTTCACCATTTCAGGCAGGAGTAAGACAGAACTGCCTGCTGAATGAGCCGTAGAGCTTGCTCTGAGTTGCCTGGCAAAGAAATTGCTAGCTGGCAGCACTGGCTTTCTTGCCCTCAGAAGAAAGGGCTTAGGTGCTATCAGCACAAGCATTCAGCTGCAAAATGTTGGCTGCAAATCCTCATGAGCAGCACACATCCAAGATCAGGTTGGATTTTCTCCAGTCACATGAAGCTATTTTCCTGCAGTCTCTTCAAGGAAAAAGGTGGTGTTGGAGATGGGCAGGGTCCCTTTCCCGGATCACAGCCAGGGAACTCCCATCCATGCCCAATTAAGCAGGACTCCTCTGAACCTGGGGAAGCTTTGGGGAATCGTGTGTGGCTTCCTAGTCTCTTCTGCCTATTCCTTTCCACTTGTGTCATGTCAGTGTGACTCATGGGTAGGCTTTTATCTGAGCTATTCACTCAGTTATTCACATGCCCTAACATAGAAAGGAGTGAACTTTAGAAAAATGAGGGCCTTCATCTAGGATCACATGACTTGTTTTAGACCTAGGCTTTAAAGTCAGTTACATCATTTCCTGGGGCCAGTGTTCTTGACAAACTACATGAATCTTGCATGAATCTACCATTTAAGCATATACATACAGACACTTGCTAAAGGAGAATTTTATTATGTGATGGGTATAAGGAGAAATATAAAGTAGTGTATATTTTCTTAATAAAGATGATCATCTACAATGTTGAAAAATTGAACCCAGTAAATGCAAAACATTGTATTTAGTGTGACAGTTAACGTGACTGATGTGTTGAAATTAGTATAAGAAAATTTATAGCAGTAGGTTAGAAAGTAGGGTGCAGGTATTTTCACATGGGAAGCTGGAAGGAGAACCCAGATGGAAGTATTCTCCAGGTCAACTCGAGATGGGATTGTGGAGATGCTCAGTTTACACTTGAGAATGGTCAGCCAGACTAAATGGAGGGATGCAGGTTGGAGTGATACATCCGGAGGAAGCAGTTCATTATGAGGCTTCTGTTCCTGGTTGTTCAAGACGTGAGAACTCTGAGCTAGAGCAGTAATCAATGAAGAAGTGGGCAGATTAAAAATATATTTAGGATAGTGATTAGGGAGAGATTGGTCATTGCGTGTTAAGTGGAAATAGAGTTACTGGATTTGAGCATCTGTCTGAAAGGTGGCATCATTGACTGAGCCAGGACACTGGAAAATAAATAGGTTCTGAAAGGGAACAGGAGAGATAATTATTTCTGTCTTTGACTCACTGAGTGCAAGTACATGTTAAGTATGGGATGCAGGAACATCAAGCCTTTACGTTAAGGAAGTAAAATTGAACCCTAAATATCATTATTGTTAGTAAATCACAAAGCGTCTGCCTCCTATATCTGTTAAGAAAAGCATAAGGTGCTATGTTTGGCTACACACATCTTGAAAAGTCAGAGCGCATTTCTACTGTAATTACAATGTGTCCTTTGGACTATTTTTCAGGTAGTATAAACATTTTCTACCCCCTTCTTGTGCCTAATATGTGTGCTTGCTGGAGTAATAGATGCAAGCGGGCCCCTGTGATTACTGCAGGAGCATGGCTATGGGAGAGGCTCACATGATTTTATTGCCCTCTGCCCCAACAAGTGAGAGCAATAACTTGTTATGAAAGGACATCAAGTGAATGGAAAATCCATATCAAAGAGCATGCTCTACTTTTATGTCGGTAAACTTGAAGTTGTTTCCTGAGTAATGAGTGAAGTAGGAGCTAAATTTTATGGGATCAAAGGGAAAGTATAAATTTTAGATATGTTGGTTATGGCAACGGTGAGCATGTTTATAGATCCAAAGAGATGTATGGAAGGAAAAAAATGTGATGGAAGAAAGGGAGGAAAAGACAGGAAAGTCTTGGATGATAAGGAAATCTTTCTCTGCTAAATGTTACAAAGAAAAACCAACAATGGTAAACAAAGGCAGGGGCAGGAAACTAACTGGGTGAAAGTGAGTATCTGACAGGAGATAATGTGCTTCAATTAAGCCACAGGAGATAATGCTCTTTAATTGTGAATGAATTGCTGAAGCAATTGCCTTTAGTACAAAGTCTAATTTTTTCTCTAGTCCCAGTGTAAATACTCTTTAATTCTGCGATCCAAAATCTTGTTTTCTTTAAGAATAAAAGCATCCAACTGTCCAACCATTTAAGTTAATTTCCATTTCTCTGACATGATTTCATGGCTTTAGGGACTTTGTATGATGACCGTTACCATGTTCCCTCTCTTCTCTTCTCCTCCATCTAGACCCTTCTTTTATTTGTTCTCTCTTCTTAGCCAGAACCAGTTTCTGACAACTTCCTTGGTATCTCACTTTCAGACTGGAGGAAATTTCCAATCCTCATAGATTGGTCTTTCTTCTCCCACTCATAGCAAGTTCTCATTA